ACTGATGTAACCAATTTTGAAATTTAAGTATAATTTGGTCTAAATACCAGATACAACTGTTCCTAAAATATGATTTGACATGAGAGTGCTATATTGCAGTAACCTATTAATCAACAGCCAGTAAGAAAACCTTGAAACAACCACAAGGCTCCAGATCTAGGTGAAGAAAACTGCCAAAGAAAAATAATAAAATACATCCACTGAGCACAACAGAAAAATATCAGTCTATGCTTCTAGAAGCTTAAAGACTAATGGAGAAAATAAGGCAAATATATAAATAATGTGATAAGGAATCATATCCTATACTTTAACACAGCATATATAAATTAGCAGTGATTATTTATTACATGAATTGTTCATAGTAGTTCATCTCATTACTGTGTACCATCGCAGGGATGTAATGTGTGTTGGAATCCTTCAGAAAAGAATCTTCTGACCTTCTATATGAGGAGCAAAGCCTGACTATTTTCATCCTTGTAGGCAAATGGGAAACGGGTGGAGAAGTGGTTCTATATTCCATCAATTTGTTAAGCATTCAGCGGATCCTTTAAATATAGAAATTTGTCTTTCAGCTCCATAAAATTTTTATTTGTTTATCTGATAATTTTATCCTCTTTACTTTCTCTCTCCTTATATGCTGGAATTCCTATTACTTGGATGTTTACTCTCTGAATGATCCTATAATTTTCTCCATTTTTCTTTTTAGCATCCCAGGTCCTTGATTTTTTTTCTGTTTTTTTGAGCACTTCTTCAACTTTACCTTCCAACTCTTACTGAGGTTTTCTTTTTCTTAATCTACTATCATAGTTTTCATTTCAAGCTTTTTAAATTCTCTGGGTATCCCTTTTTGGTAACATGTTTTTCATGTATGTCATACATTCTCTGATCTCTCAGAGAACGTTAATGATCATTTATGGGAGAAGGACTTTCTTTTCCTTAAATTATGTTTCCTCAAGTTTCTTTTTTTCCATTTGTTTATGTTGGTTTTGACATTAATGTTAAAGGTTTCCACAGGTGTTGAAGGTCCCTGGCTATCTGTTCACAATAGTAAGGTGCTAAAAAAGCTGATGGGATGCTTTGTATGGCTGGGCAATCTGGCTTTTAGCTGTATCACTGAGAGAATACCCCGATTTCAGAAATATAGATCTTTTCACTTTATCTGTTTAGAATCCTTCAGAAAAGAATCTTCTATATGAGAAACAAAGCCTGACTATTTTCATCCCTGTAGGCAAATGGGAAAGAGGGGGATGGAGAAATGGTTTCAATATTTTCAAAATCCCAGCATTAAAGCCTTCTCTTATGAACAATATGCTGTTATACAAAGAACATAAATTCCAGCATCAGACTGACTTGGATTTTAATCTAGGTAATGCTACTTACTGACTCGTGTCTCTAAAGCTGGGTTTCCTCAACTATAAAATGGAGCAACATCCACTTTAGATGACATCCAAATCATAGAATTACTGTAAGAATTAGAATAATACAGGTAAAGTCCATTACACATAATAAGAGTTAACCATTAGAAATGACCATGACAATTAAGCTAATCTGCTTATATAATTCATTTAGCAATTGACAACCTGAATTCACTCAATCTCTTATACTTTTGCCTTAAATGATTATTTGTGTTTAATTTTTATTTATGTCTATGTTTTGTGTCCCCAAAAGCTTCTTAAAAATCAGGACTATATGCCATATTTACTTACTTAAAATTCCACATAGGTTACCACAATGCTATTTACAAAAGACAATTCAATAAATATTTCCTCAGTAAAGTGTCTGCTAAAAACAGTCTATCCAGAAAATGGAAATCACATTTAAGAAATGCATTGACACACCAGATTATGTCTATTAAAGGGTAAAGAGAGAGACAAGGAGGGAGGGAGAAGAGGCAGGGGAGTGGGCACAGTGTGTGTACATGTGTGTGTGCGTGTGTACACATACATATGTGTGAGATAGAAGGGAGAGAATGTGTAAGCAAAATTGGATAAGAGAAACTTTAGATGTCTATATCAGAAGGCATAGTAACTTCAAGATAAATTATTATAAGAGGCTCTGAAGGCAAAATCAGGAATGATTAAGAGAAAGTCACCTTAACATAAACTAAAATTCTGTAATATTAGAGCTGTCCAACAATGGAATAAATAGGGTTCATTTAACATTGAGTACCTGGGAAAATTAGAGGTGCCTAAGCAAAGCTCAGGGTTGAGCTGGTTTTCGATCCACATGTCAGTATCAGAAAGACAGCTGTTACCTAGAATGCTGTGTTGAGAAGAATGATAAGACTGCATACACAGTCAGTGGGAAAGGGTCCTGTGATCAGTTAAGAATCTGTCATAAGCCTGGCAGATAAATTATTTTTAGAAGTGATCATTCCTTGTTGAGAATTTAAATACAAACTAGGTGAAGTTTTTCTAAACTCCATGAGTCTAAGACTAACATTCTTTAAATGTTCATTGAAATTATATTTTTAAAATATATTTTTTAAGTTTTTAAAAAACATTTTTTTCTTTATTGATTTTAGAAAAAGAGGAAGGGAGAGGGAGAGAGATAGAAACATCGATGAGAGAGAACATCGACTGGCCGCCTCCTGCACACCCCGCAGTGGGGATCGGGCCCATAACCTGGGCATGTGCCCTGACCAGGAATTGAACTGGCAACCTCTTGGTGCATAGGTCGACACTCAGCCACTGAGCCACACCAGCCAGGCAATATTTTAAAAATATTTTTAAATGGCTGTCTTCAGCTAGGATCTTGGGTTGTTGTTTGAGCAACAAAAAAGCACTTTGGTTTCTCATCCTATAACTCACTCTTGGGACCACAGTAACATCTTAAAAACTGCACCATGGCCCTGGCTGGGCGACTCAGTTGGTTGGAGTGTTGTCCTGTACACCAAGGAACTACAGGTATATTTCCTGGTCAGGGCACATACCTAGGCTGCAGGTTTGATCCCCAAATAGTGTGTATACAAGAGGCAACTAATCAATGTTTCTCCTTCTATCATCCTCTCTAAAATCAGGTGAGGATTAAAAAAAAACCCACTGCACTGTGCTTTACAGTTTTCAAAGTATGTTCATGTCTTTACTTTCAATAATATTTGTGACTAACAGCTATCAACAGAGAAAAGCATGTCAATATGCAAGAACCAAACTGAGACCTGTAATTTGTAATCAAAATATTCTACCTTGCCCTGGGCGGTATGGCTCAGCAGTTAGAGCATTGGCTCACGGACCAAAGAGTCATGGGTTCAATTTGGGTCAAGGGCATGTACTTCAGTTGCGGTTCAGTCCCCAGACTTGGTTGGGTTTGTGTGGGAGACAACCAGTCAATGTGTCTCTCTCACATCAATGTTCCCTCCCCCGCATCTGAATATAAATGAAAAAAATATCCGTGGGTGAAGATTTATATATATATATATGTATATATATATATATATGTATATATATGTGTATATATATATATACACACACAGATATATATATGTATATGTATGTGTGTATATATATATATAACCTTTAATAATATCCCAGAACTGCATTACTAATTAAATCAATAGGCAGAAGGTGCCCACATCTTAAAGAAACAAACACCGAAACAGAAACTGTGTCTTCTTCCTACATTCCTGTTCTTCACAGAAATTACTCCCATCACCCACAATTTAAAAAGAAACAGTCATGCTGTCTTAGAGCAGTTCTCAAGTGTCATCATTGGACCAGCAGCAGCATCACCTAGGAAGGTGTCAGAAATGCCAATTTCCAAGCCCCATGCAACCTACTGAATCAGAAATTCTGGAGCTGAGCCAACAAACTGGGTTTTAACAAGTGCTCCACATGATTGTAACGCATGCTCAAGATTGCAAACCACTTTCTTAGAAAATGGTTCTGTTTCTTTCCAACATGACCATATCTTTTTACCCATTTCTCCTTAGCATCTCCTGTTTCTCACATTTTAGACAACCCAAAGATTGTCTCATTTGAACAATTAATCCATCAATAACTTTATGATGATTTCCTGCTTTCTTTCCTTTTAAAATAGGAGACTTTCAAACTACCCAATACATTAAAAAAAAATTATTACACATAAATTATTATGGGCTATTTACCTACAAAGAGATTTTTAAATGTGTGGCAAGAGGTATAAGAACAATCCTGTATAAAAATCATTTTGTAAACAAGCCCACCTTTTTCTTTGCATTCCATCATAAACTGCATATCATAAAACACATTTGTAGGGAAATTTTTAAATAAATTGTTGTACTTATCGAACAGTTTAAAAGAAATAATTTTTTACATGATCAAAATGACTACTTTCTTACAAAACATCTGTTTTCACATTTACACAATTTTTAAAAATATTTTATTGAGAAGCATACATAATATGGGTCTCATTTAGGAAATGAACCTGTGAGTTATGGTATAGAACTCTGGCTAACATAAACATATAACTCAACTATAAGGAAGTTGGCCAGTGCATACTTCTTTTGAGAAGGAAATTATATGTAAATTTAAGAGTGTTTTCTTAAAGTATCCTGTAAAATGCTGTCTGGACATGATAACAGATACTATACATGTACATGTATGTATAAGCAGATACATTGATTCTTTTTTTTCTTTTATCCTCACCCAAGGACATTTTTGCATTTATCTTGAGATAGAGCGGGAGGGAGGGAGGGAGAAACATCAATGTGAGAAAGACACATCTAGTGGTTGCCACCCAAATGCAACAGAGGTATGTGCCCTTAGCAGGAACCGAACCCGGGCCTCTCTGGTCTGCAGGCCAATGCTCCAACCACTGAGCCAAACCGGCCAGGGCGATACATCAATTTTTTAATGCTGACAAATAATGACAATAACAACAGCAAAGCAAAACAATTAAAACCATCTCAGAATAAATATTGCGGTTGATGAGAAATGTATCTGAGACCATAAATAATAAATTTAGTACAAACAGACTTCTGCTTCTAGATATCACATGAGGCAATGAAAGAACATCTTACTCACCTGTGTACATAATGCAGTTGATGAACTGAATCAATTGCTATCACCATCTCAGCCAAGTAAAATCGAGCCATATCTTCAGGCAACCTATCTTCAAATTTGCTGAGCAGAGTAAGCAAATCCCCACCAACATAATAATCCATAACCAGATACTGGGAAAGAAATAATAAAATGTACTTAATAAATAAAAAAGGGTGAAAAATAATATATTTAATGTAATCAAACAGATCAAGATAAAAAACTTTTGTTATCAACTAACAAGAAGCTACATAACATTATCATCAGCAGTAATTATAAAACTTATAAATTTCATAAAGCAGTAGAATAAATTTTTTTAAATTGGGGAAGGGAACAATTTAGGATTACTATTGTTTTGTTATTGTATTTTGCAAAGTAACATCATCACCTACAATAGACCATAATTTTGCCAACATTTCATAGAAGAAAGAACATTTTAATTCTCCGAAGTGGACTTTTTGTTGTTATTGTTAATCCTCACCCAAGGATATTTTTCCACTGATTTTTAGATAGAGTGGAAGGGAGGGAGGGAAAGAGAGAGAGACACACAGATTGGTTGTCTCCTGCATGACCCCGACAGCGGTCAGGGATTGAACCAGCAACCCAGGTATGTGCCCTTGACTGGGAATTGAATCTGAGGCCCTTCAGTCCTTGGGCGGACACTCTAACCACTGAGCCAAACCAATCAAGGCTCAAAGGTGGATTTCTAAGAGTCCTTTATGTTGAATAAATTCATTTTCATCATCACTACATTGTCCTTATTTCATCTTAGACCAGTAACAACTTTATTATAATCAGCACTAGGATAAGCATTTGAAAACAACTGTATATAGAATACAGTAATTCTCATGATATATAGGTTTCTCTTCCCACTTCTGATAGTGTACAAATATCAGAATGGGCTTTTCCAAAGTACATATAAACAGAGGCCAACTAATTTTAGATATGGCCTATTCTGAGTTTGTGTCTAATATTATGATTTATAATAATACACACACACACACACACACACACACACACACACACACAGCACGAGTTCCTGAAAACCTTTAGAATTTCTTAGGTGTAGATAAAGGTGTCTTTTGTTATTGATAACAAGCCCCTTTCAAGCACACCACTGTTGATGTTAATGAGGCAACTTTTGAAAGCTCCTAGGTAACCTAAGGATGGGAGCTGGCTGCCAGGGGAACCAACCAAGATTAGAAAGTTGGAACTTTCAGCCCTGGCCGGTTTGGCTCAGCGGTTGGAGTGTTGGCCTGTGGTCTGGAGAGACCCGGGTTCAGTTTCCGCTAAGGGCACGTACCTTGATTGCAGTTTGTCCCCAGCCCTAGTTGGGTCGTGTGGGTGGCAGCCACTCGACGTGTCCCTTTCACATCGATGTTTCTCTCTCCCATTCTATCTGAACAAAATATCGAAAAACCTCCTCAGGTGAGGATAAAAAAATAAATAAATAAAATAAAAAAGAAAGTTGGAACTTTCAGTCCCAACCTTTCCCCCTCAAGAAAGGGGCTGGAGGTTAAATCAATCATGCTTGGTCCATGATTTAAACAAACATGCTCACCCTGGCCAGTCTGGCTCAGCAGTTAGAGCATCAGCCCACAGGCCAATGATTCCCGGGTGTCATTCCGGTCAAGGCACGTACCTCAGTTGGGGTTCCTTCCGGTCAAGGCACGTACCTCAGTTGGGGTTCTTTCCCCCAGCCCTGGTTGGGTTGTGCGGGAGGCAACCAGTCAATGTGTCTCTCTCACATGTCTCTCTCTCTCTCTCTCTCTCTCTCTCTCTCTCTCTCTCTTTCTCCTCCCCTTTTCCACCTGGGGCCTTCCTCCCACTCTGATAATAAATAGAAAAATATCCTCGGGTGAGGATAAAAAAGCATTATGTAATGAAGCCTTCATAACAATCCAAAAGAAGGGTTCAAAGAGCTTCCAGGTTGGCCAACAAGTGGAGGTGCTGAGACAGTGGTATGCTCTCAGAAAAGGGCACGAAGCTCGGTGCCCCTCTCCTCATCTCGCCCCATGTATCTCTTTCACCTGAGTTCTGTGAGCTGCTCTAGCAAATTAATTGACCCACAGAGAGAACCTAAGTATGTCATCACATGGCAAATTAATCACTTGGGATTTTTCACTATGGACATTTCCTTTGTGCTTGCATCAAGTCCCAAAAATTACTGCTAGAACTACAGTTTGAGCTCCAAAGATCTATCTACTGCAAATCTGTGTGGGAATGATCTCACTTCTTTTTATTTCTGACAGACGGGAAGTAGATAAAGCATCCTGACATTACACATGCTTCAACAACATTGGTTGTCAAAATGAATTCAGCATAGCATAAGTTTTGCATGTAAGTGCTGCTTTGCCTTGTAATTTAGGTTAAATTTATTTTAAAAACATATCAAGTCTCCAGGAAATGCTACTCTCCAAAGCAATTCAGTATTTCACAATATAGTTTGAGAATGGATTTTTTTTGTTTAAAAATATTTCAATCTTGGCCCTTTGTTCAAAATATTGCAATATGTCACCACTACAAAAACCAATGAACAGCTGTATTGTATAACAAGTCAGGATATTCAGCTTTAATTTCTCACAAAAATTCATAAAAATGGTAACACTTGTTTCCACGAAAATGAATGAAGTTGACACTACTGGTTAATAACACAATAGGTTCAAATAGTTGCTGCAAACTACCTGCTGATTAATAAGACAATGAATATCCATAGGCCTTAACACCTAATATTTATTGATTTGTATATATAAAACCAACTAAGCCTCTTTCTGCTTCACACATATTTTCATCACTCTCAATTATAATACATCTTAGCAGATTCCAATTCAGTTTGTGTCAAATTAGTGTTTTCTGAACTTCTTTGAAAATACTATTGACTATAACTATCCCACACAAACTATTCACACAGGCTAATTTCTCAGTTACTTCAAACTCAGCATTGACTCTTCAAATAACAAGAACTGAGCAGAATCAGTAACATCTTTCAACTCAAGAACCAAAGAAGACCACTCAAAATTATTTCTCTAGTTTTATAATCAACCATTGATATTGCTCCCAATTTCCTCAGTTTTTTGAGTAACTATTCTCCCCAAAAGGCTGACAGTCTTAGACAAGTTAATTTTTTGTGGGCACATTTCTTTGGCTGCTGCAATCAGACATGATTTAATTATCTCAACATTGGTGAATGAGCTTCCTTGCTTGGCTAAAAAATTAGCCACTCAAGGAACTTCCTACAGTTGCAGCCTCTTTTTTTTTTTGGTGAAGGAATTCTGCTGTGGTAAGATATTCTGTTTTAAATTTTCTAACTTTACTGACTGCTGTTTTCCTGTGAGTTAGAATGTTGCTATGACTGCTCAGTGTGGCAATGTAAACATTTATTGTATTCTATTAGTACAGTTGTAATGTAGTTGCATAATAAACACCATGCTGTCATTTAATTTGTTAACAAAATAATCGACACTCTACTTTGCTTTAAACACATGGTATTTGAAATCTATTCTTCTCTTCTCTTCTCTCCTTAACTTGTCATAATGCATATGCACTATTAACAAAAACAATAAAATGGCCCAGTACAGCTATATATATAGATAGATAGATAGATAGATAGATAGATATAGATATATATAGATATATAGATATAGATATATAGATATCACTTTCAAAGCAGTGCAAAGCAATGACAGTAACACATACAGTGTGTTTCCCTCTATTACAGTGCCAGTCTCTATCACAACTAGTCAGCTCAGCCACTGCAGCACAAAAGCAGCCATAGACAATACATAAATCAACGGGCATGGCTATGTTCCAATAAAACATTACTGCCACTGAAATTTGGATTTTATGTAATATTTACATGTCACATAATATTCTTCTTTTGATTTTTTTCAACTACTTAAAAATATAAAAACAATTCTTAGTTTGCAGGATGTACAAAAATGGGTGGTGGACCAGATTTGAGCTGCAAGTCATCATTTGCCAAAATCTGACTTACAAGAACTCCCAGATGTATGGTTCTAGTCACCCTCAGAAGCACCAGTCTTATATATCTAAACCATTAAATGTATCACATGACATTTCAAACCTAGCACATACCAAATTAATCATCTTCATCCCTACTTTAAATTTTCTCTTCCTCCTATATTCTCCAACTCAATTAATCAAGTACTAACGACTGAATCTCACAAGTCAGACCTAGGAAACTGGGAGTCATTCTGACTTCTCTCCTCCAATGACTTCTACCCAAACACAAAGCACTAATTATCTTACTTCCTAAACAGTATCTGAAACCATCTCTCCCTCTTTGTCCCTGCTAGGACATTATCACCCTTATTTAAGCCCTCATGATGTCACCTGAATGTTGTACAAGTCTCCTAACTGGTCTCTCTAGTTTTGCTCCTGAAATCCATCCTCCACACTACTGCCAGGGTGTTCTATATAAAATATAAAACTTTATCACACTATCCTTAAAACTCACTTTGCCCTGGCCAGTTTGGCTCAGCGGTTAGAGCATCGGCCTGCAGTCCGGAGAGACCCGGGTTCGGTTCCCACTAAGGGCACGTACTTCGGTTGCAGTTTGTCCCCGGCCCTGGTTGGTCGTGCGGGTGGCAGCCACTCGATGTGTCCCTTTCACTTCGATGTTTCTCTCTCTCTCCCTTCCTCTCTCTCCCTCCCACTCTATCTGTACAAAAAATGGAAAAATATCCTCGGGTGAGGATAAAAAAAAAAAAAAAAAAAAAAAAACTCACTTTGAACTCAGAATAAAATCTGAATTCCTCAGCATGATCCACATTCTGGAAGCCTTATTTCATATCTCTCAAACCCACTTCCTTGCTATACTCTAATCACAATAACCTTCTTCTCATTTTCAAACAAACATAGTCCTTTCAGACACCAAACTAATAGAAAAAGAGATCAGTCTTGTGATTACCAGAGGTGGGAAACCGGGAGAAGAGAGAGAAGGTGGTCAAAAGGTATACACTTCCAGTTATAAGATAAGTAAGTACTAAGGATATAATTAATGCACATCATGACTATTGCTAACACTGCTCTATGACACATAAAGTTGTTAAGAGAGTAAGTCCTAAGAGAATTTTTTCCCTTTTTTATATTCTTTCCTTTCTTTTTATTGTATCTATATTAGAAGACAGGTGTTAGCTGAACCTATAGTGGTAATCATTTCACAACACATGTAAATTAAACCATCATGCAGTAGGCCTTAAACTTATTCAGTGATGTATGTCAATTATTTCTCAATAAAACTAGAAAAATAATGATTCTTACTAAGTTATTGTCATCCTGGAAAGCGTAATGCAATGTTGTAATCCATTTACTGTCTCCATTCACTAACACATCCCTTTCTTCACGAAAACATGCTGTCTGAAAAGAAAAAAAAATTCTTTAAACAAAGGACACTTTATGTAAAATTAGAAAATATATTATGCAAATAATAGCTTAATATATTTATTACATTTTCTTTCTGGAAGAAGAGCACATCCAATATTAGATGAGTTTCCAACAAGTCAGGTTTTAAAGTGCCCTCAGAAATTAGACCACTGGAATAGTACACTTAAAATATTGTTAGAGTTTTTTTAAAAAATCAGGAAATACACAGAATCATTATAACAATCATGGTCCAACCTACCATCCAGATAATATACATTTCAGTCTTTTCCCACATTTACTTCTTACCTTTTTATTTTTAAAGAAATAAGATACACGTTGTAGCCTTCCTATTCCTATCACATTCTCCTCCCTTCCTATCCTGATATAATAATCTGAAGTTATTTTATATTCTTCCCATCATATGCTTTGATCACATGTCTATGACTAAAAATTATAGAACTGTTTTTGTGTTTTGAAAATTTCCATGAATGGTATATTGTAATCTTATCTACCCTTTTGAACTTGATTACTTTTTACTCATTCATGACTTATTTTCCTTTTAATTGCTATGATATTCCATTGTTTGAAATTTATGCAACCTTCTAATAATGTTAACATAGGTTATATCCAATTTTGTTATTACAATGTTGCAATAAATACATTTGTACAAATGTACAAGAGTTTCTCTAGGGTATACACTTAAAAGTAGAAATGCTAGACAGAAGCATTTTCAACTGTACCATATAGGCAGTTTTCTTTTCTAAGTGCTGTACCAATTACTACCCTCACCCCAGTGTATGAAATCTACCCTTTTCCCCACATCCTCGGCTGTACTTGGCATTATTAGACTTCTAAATGTTTGTCAATATGGCCCGGCCAGTGTGCCTCAGTGGACTGAATGTCGTCCCATGGACTGAGAGGCTTGATTCCTGGATAGTATACATGCCTGGGTTGTGGGCACAATCCCCAGTAGGGGGCGTGCAGGAGGCAGCCGATCAAAGTTTCTCTCATATTGATGTTTCTCTCTCTCTCTCCCTAAAATAAATCACTGAAAACATATTTTAAAATAAAATAAATATTTTTCAATATGATAGGTGTTCAATAATATCTCCTTGTTCTTTTAATTAACTTATTCCTAATTACAGGTACTGGTAAATAACTTTCCATATGTTTACTGGACATCTGAGCTTTCTCTTTGAATTGTTTACTCTCTCTGCCCATTTTTTCTAATTGTTTCTTTTATTGATTTGAAAAAGTTTGTATTTATTCCGAGAATATTTCCATATTATAAAGGTATACCTGGAGAACCTCAAAAATGTGAGGCTAAAAATAAAATAATAATTTCATATGATAAATTATAATTCTATCATATAGCTTTAAATTTTTAATAAAAACAACAGCACTATGCCAGAAAGTTCAAAAAGAATTGAAAGGTAAAGTAGAAACTGAAAGTCTCCCTGAGTCATGCCCCCTTACTATCATCCACTTGTTGTGTCCAGAAGTTACTATACAAACTCTGTTGATATCTTCTCAGAAAATTTCTGTATATATATATATAAGCACACATACACATACCACACACAATTCATATGGTATCCCATATCTCCTATATTTTCTTTGCCCAAGAGATCACAGTACTTTGTAAGTTGTTTTTTGTTTTTTTTTTAGAAAACAAGATATCTTAACAGTTTTCCACAAGAGACCTAATTTTTCCTTATGGTGTATCATATTCCATACACACTGAAAAATCATTATATAGTACTCTATATATAGGTGCTTCATAATTTATTTCCCACAAGGTAAATTCAATAGCAATGATATGCAAAATAATTAACATCATCTGCTTTACAACATTAACAGGCATCCTGACTTTTTTCTATGTATTTACATAAATTTTATTTGATCAAATAGAATTTCCAAAGCTATGCATTAAATAGGATCACAAGAGAAAACATGTAAAACAATTAAAGATTAAATCCAAAGAATGGGCAGCCTTACCCTTTAATTGGATTATTGAAATCTGCCTCATTATGCTTTGCTTCATTTTAAGGAGAAAATAGAATCACTTGGCATACTCACCATTTAAGTTGTTTTAGAATTTAACTGACATGAAGTTGTGGTTCAGAGAGATGGTAAAGATTGTCAGCCTAGGAGACACCTTTTCCCGACTTTATTTTATTATGACCACTACCTGGAATTTTTCAGAAATTCCAACTAGAATCTAATAAACATTTGATTGATGACTCCAAATTAAATAAAGCTCAAAGACTTTTTGTCAACAAATTAATCTTCAGTAGAATTCTAAACTGTTTAGTCAAAAAATAAGTTAATTTAAAAAATATAAACTATAAAGTAAACTATTTATTGTTTTTGTTTTTTGTTTTTTTATCCTCACCTGAGGACATTTTTTCCATTTTTGTTCAGATAGAGAGGGCAGGAGAGAGAGAAAAAAACATCGACATGAAAGGGACACGAGTGGCTGCCACCCGCACGACCCAACCAGGGCCGGGGACAAACTGCAACCGAAGTACGTGCCCTTAGCAAGAACCAAACCCGGGTCTCTCTGGACCACAGGCCGACACTCTAACCGCTGAGCCAAACCGGCCAGGGCAAAATAAACTATTTATGATATAAAACTTTCAACATAACAAAAGAACAATAAAATAGCTCCCTTGCCCCAATGTACCCATCAACCAACTTCAACAATTACTCAATCTTATTTCATCTTACCCACTTACTACCACCCTCCCTCAATGCACATGTGTATGCCCTTGTGTACAAGCTCACAAAAAAATTTTAAGCAAATCTCAGACATCATGACTTTACCCATAAATACTTAGGATTAAACTATTCCTATTAATGCCTCAGATACTGAGTTTAGATGTGAAATGCAGTCTCTTTTTTTGTTTCAACATGTCACATCGTCCTCAATTAGTTGTCACAATTGGGGGGGGGGGGGTTAATACTACTGGAATCCAGTGGGAAGAAGACAGGGATGTTGCTACACATCCTATAATGCATAGGCCTGCTCTACAAAGAAAGATTTGGTGCCAAATATCACAAGCACCACTGTTGAGAAAACTTGTTCTAGATCAATATTAACGCCAAACCATGATGCATGTATACCATAGGGTTCATAAAGTTGTCCCAAGGATTCAACATAAAGGCTATAATAATCTCTACTTCAATTACCTTTTCTTTTTTTTCAAACTGGATTTTTAAAACTATCCCCCTTTAAAAACAAAACATTTACGTCTCTAAGAATGCAATAAACAGTAGGAGAGAGGTTACTGGAGATCATAACTTCTTCAGATTCTATCATTCAATTTCTATTCAACCAAATATTCTGCTTGTGAAAGTGATGGTTTTGACTGTTTTGCAGTTTTATATTTTTAATATTCAATTATATATTATTTAAATTTTCCCCTTAATGGGATACTGGTTAAAAAGAAAGAACAACAGGAATACCTGTGCTAAAACAGAAGTTAATATGGACCAGATATAAAAACTAATAATTCTGCAAACATTCTTATATATTCCTATACATTCCCATACAGCACATCAAAGTTTCCTGAATAATTTGGAAATCATGTGTCAAAATAAGAAAATTCACTCATGATTATATATACTTTGGCTTCTCAATTAATAAGAAAGACTTCTATCACCGATAAAATATTATCAGAGAAATTCTTTCAAATAACTAAATTATTCTCTCTAATCTAATATTTGAGGGTGAAAGCCAAAACTTTTTATTTTTAAAAAATAGATAAACAAGTGGAATTTTAAATTGCAAAATGCGCCCTGGCCATTGTGGCTCAGCGGTTAGAGCATCAGCCTGCGGATCAGAGTCCTGGGTTTGGTTCCCGCTAAGGGCACATACCTCGGTTATAGTTCGTCCCTGGCCCTGGTTGGGGTCGTGTGGGTGGCAGCCAGTCAATGTGTCTCTCTCACATCAATGTTTCTCCCTCTCTCTCTTTCTCCCTCTCTCTCTCCCATTCTATCTGAAGATAAATGCAAAAATATCTTTGGGTGAGGATAAAATTAAATAGATAGATGATAGACAGACAGACAGACAGACAGATAGCAAAATGCAAGAATTCCAATATCAGGTCTTATACACAATTTACTTTTAAATCTCCAATATATATTTGATGGCTGAACCAAATATGAGATGTCACTTTTTAACTTGTCAGCAAAAAAAAAAAAAAATTCACATAATTAAAGAAAGAGAAATCATTTGATAACATCCAGAACTGGCAAATGAGTTAGACAGCAAACACATTTACATACTATGAGTGCAAAGATATATGGATCCAACATTTTTAGAAGACAATTTGGCAACAAAGGTTAATGTGTACCTGTCCCCCAAACCCAAGAGTTCCACTACTGAGGAGTTTAAGGAGTAGATAAGATTTTGAGGCAGCACAACATGAAAATCCTTTATTGTAAAAACTATTTTAAAATCACTTCAACCTCAGTATATGCTAACTGGAGTACCCCAGGGTAGCCAATGGCAACATCTTTGATTAACATCAATTCACAGTCCCTTTTATTTTTATTTTACATTGCATATACTTCTGAGGTGGCATAACTAGTTCTCATGCACTACTGACTTCACAGAATAAGTGCTGTTCCACAGGACCCAAAGGTCCCTAGCTGGTCCACCTTCTTTTATTTATTTATTTGGTTAATCCTCACCCAAGGATCCTCCCCCACCCCTTTTATTAGATAGAGTGGAAGGTGGGAGAGAGAGACATCAATGTAAGAGAGATACATCAATCAGCTGCCTTTCAAATGACCCCAACTGGGCTGGGGATCAGACGGAGCTAGGGATCAAACCTGCAACCTAAGTATGTGCCCTCGACTGGGAATTGAACCCACAACGCTTCAATTTGAGCCTATGCTCTAACCACTGAACAAAATCAGCCAGGGTTGGTCCACCTTCTTTTCTCTGCCTTTCAGAGTCTTCTCATGTTTTGTTTTGTTTTTTATATATTTGCCCTGTCCAGTGTGTCTAAGTTGGTTGAGCGTCTTCCCATGCACTGAGAGGTCGCTGGTTCAATTCCCGGTCAGGGCATGTGCTTAGATTGTAGCTCAATCCCCAGAAGAGGGCATGCAGGAGGCAGCCAACAGATGTTTCTCTCTCTCCCCATTTCCCTCTCCCTCTAAAATCATTAAAAACCTATTTTTAAAAAACAGTCCAATAATTAGAATCTTACCTCTGCTCTTTTCAGCATTTCCCATTTATTCAATATTTTCATGGCAAATACTTTATCTGCGTTTTTTAGTTTCACTACAGCAACCTGGGAAAGGAAATACAACTTTTAGAATACAATAAACAGTACTCTTTTCAGTCATCCATTTTCCTTTTTCCTCTCTGTAAAAAAATACCAAAATTATCAAAGCTTTCCATGCAGTTCAAATTCTAAGATCCTAAATCGAATAATATTGTCAGTTGAAAGAATTACATTAGTAAACAAGTGCCAAACAAGTAACTGTATTTGTGAACACTGTATCAGTTGGTGATTATACATTACATCCTCCTTTTCAATTTTTCTGCCCTGGAATTTAAACTCAACATGTACTATCACTAAGAAGTTGACCAAAATGTACAAGATAAAATATTAAAGCTTATTAAATACTGCATGCCAAATTCCAACACAATGCTCGAATGCTTGCTGTGAAAACAAATCTATTTTGTGGGATCAAGCAACATTAAATAAACTGGAAATATTAATTTTTATAGCACATATTCTTACACACTATATCACAATCCCAAACTCTCTCTCTCTCACACACACACATACACACCCCTCAAAGACCAATTAAAGTTAAGAGCTCTTCAAACTGTAGACTTGACACATTCCTTTCCGACAAAAAATGGAACAGCTATTGCTCTATTTTGTATTTTAGTTATGGATCAAAAAACTGTCAAATACAAATAAATAACACCACATTTTCATCCTCAACAAACTGATTACATTTTGGTTTCTACTTCTCTGCTTCAGTTTGACTAGACAATCTCAAAGGACTTTCCAGCTATTAGGGATGTTAAAGGGCTGAGAATGAACTACAGAAGAGACAGAGGTTGTTTCCAGTTATTGGAGGTTGGGGAAGGGGAAGACACATACGACCCTAATATGCAGGAGAGAACAAACTTTATACAGCACATCTTTAAACAGTTCAAAGGGATATTTCCAAGGATAGAGAATAGGTTTAAACTCAAATACCAAATTTGTAAAAATCTTAACAGCAAATATACATATCAGGGGCATTTAATAAACTTATATCTGTATCAAATGGCAATAAAAGTAATAAGACCATATGTTAAAATAAGTGTATATTATAATATACACAAGAACATTTCTTGGTAATTGTCATAAAAGGTTATAATACTGTGATTATAGCTTTTCATCAATTAAAATGGTGGAAGAAAGATGAAATATCACGACTTCAAATACAATAACTTTAGTCTTTAGTCATTTCTGGTCATAGCTGTAGAAATGAGAAGTTTAGTTAAATTATTCTCCTACTGGGTTCATGTTTTTTAAGAGGGGCTGTACAAGACATAGAAGCAACCTAAATGTATATCAATGGACATTTACATTTGCAGTATACATATATACAATGGAAAATTATTTAGCCATAAAAAGCCAGAAAATCTTGCTTTTGTGACAACATGGATGAACCTAAAGGACACTGTGCTAACTGAAATAAGCCAGACATAGAAACACAAACACTATATGATCTCACTTACATGTGGTATCTAAAAAAAGTTGAACCTATAAAAAGAGAATAGTAGCTGCCAGGGGCTGTGTAGTGGGGGACAGCTGGTCAAAGGTACAAACTTTCAATTATAAGATAAATAAGTCTTCAGGATCTAATGTACAGCATGGTGACTGGAGTTCACGGCACTGTATTACATACTTGAAAGTTGTTAAGAGAGATCTTAAATGTTCTCACTACACACACACACACACACACACACACACACACACACACGGTAATTATGTGAGGGGATGGGGGTATTAACTTTATTGGGGTAACCATTTCATGTATCAAATCATCATTTTGTACACCTTAATATTACACAGTGTAATATGTCAATTATTTCTTAATAAAGATGGAAAAAAATTCTGAAAAGGGGCTGTAATAAAGAGCAAGAAAAACTTCAAACACTGTTTCACCAAGATCTCTGAAAGGCTGAAAATACAAGTTTGGCTACTCTGGAGACTCAAATTACATGTTGCACAATTGGGAGTGCAAATGGTCAGAAGCTAGACATGCCTACCTACACTTAGGATACAGAAGAGACATGGATGGCTACCACTTAAGCCCTCTCTTATTCTGATTTGGGAAAAGTATGCCTAGCACTATATGATTCACCAATTCCCTATGCATATGAGTATGTAAGCATCTGATGATAACTACTGCTAGGAGTGGGAGTTTTCACCAACCCATATGGAATGTGTTCTACATGCCAGATACTCTTCTAAGAGTTTTATGTAGGTCCACAATCCCTTACCTGCAATAGTAAAAGTCAAAAGGTTTCCACAATCCATCTGGCAGCATATACTGCCACGAGGCTATTATACTATTTGTTTTCTGATTTTTAATCTCACTTACTGAAAAGACAAATATGCTTCACTGCAGAAATACTACTGCATTTGCTTATGAGGTGCTGCTCCAAACCCCAACAGGAGTATCATATAAAAGAGTATATGTGCTAAATTATCTAAAATCCAAAAAATATTGAAACCAAAACCACCTCTGCATTACAGAGCTGTGCAGTAGAAACAACTAGCATTTACTGAGCACTCAAACACTGAGTTAGCATTTACTGTGGCTGTTGGGGGTAGTGGTGATAGCATGGACTCTGCAGTCAGACCACTTGGTTTTGTATCCTCAATCTGTTACGAGTTATATAACTCTGGACAAGTAACTTAACCTTTCAAAATTTCAGTTTTCTTGACAATATAATGGAATTAATAATAGTACTTACCTTACCTAGTTGTGGTAAACAGTGAAATAATACAAGTATAAAGTGCTCACAACAGGGTCTGGCACTTAGTAAATGTTCAATAAGCATTAGCAATTATTATGTGCAAGGCCTTGCACACTAAGCACATTTTGCCCAATCTTGTCGTTTGCTCTACATTAATAAGTGGGAGACATTATATATCCCAACTACTTCCATTTCTTAACTATGAAATAAGAAACTTTGATTTCTTCAACTTCTAACTTTCCATGATTACTCATAACACATCCATATATATAGAAATATAGCTAGAAATAACCTCAATTGAAAATATATACAAATAAAAACTAAGCCAAAATATTGACCAGTGTAGTTTTCAATAGTAAAATAATGGAAATAACTTAAATATTCTGAAAGATGAAACTGACTAAATATATCACAAAATTACAGAAAATTATTCATATTCTTGAAAATATTGTTAAAAAATACTATTTATAGGGGAAAGTTCACAGTATCTGTTTTAAAAAAAAGTTTAATGAAGTTCATACACTAGATTATTTTTTGTATATATACCTGTGAATTTCTATGCCATATGTATATGGAGAAAGATAGACACCAAAATATTCCAAAATCAGGTATTTACAGGTGATTTGATTTCTATTCACATTTCTACATTTTCTGTATGGAACATGCAAAATGTGAAGCATGGAATGGAATAGCATGGAATACCAGACCTCACCTTGGACATGAAATTAGCACTAATTATTGAGATACTGTACTGTGGCTGATAAGGGCAAATGAGACCCATTCTACACATTTATGTGGTAATCGGGAATGCCAGGCTGCTGTAAGGATGAAAAACATTCTCAAAGCTATCTTGTAACAGTTTCATGAGTTGCCTAGAAACTTTTCTGGAAAGAGATGGAGTGTGATGAAATAAAAATGTCAGTTTAGAAAATATTCTTTAATTACCAAACTGTTGACATGATAAGAATATAAAGCTAATAAAATTTAAAAACTAATAATTGATCTTGCTTTTCTCCTTTAAACCTACAGATCATTTTTATATTAATTTCAGTAGAAGAAAAATTAAAAAAAAAAAAAAAGATTTCTTATAACTCTAACTTCAGGTTCTAGATTTTGAGAACCATTGCTAACTGAGATATAAGAGGGTAGTATGTGAAAATGTCCTTTCTTATTTAATTTGACCAAAATAAAGAGTGCATTTAGTATGGACTGCAAGTTTATAAATTTGACACAGAAAAAATATATCTTTTAAAACAAATATAAAGATGTCTTTAAAGACTTCATTTTAAAAGCACTATGAAGTTAGAAAAACTGCAACACTACAGAAAAAAAAAATCAGTAGATGACATGTAAAGGAACAAGTCCTTAAAATTTATGCATCGTCACATGGTTACAATATGTAATTTAGGAATGATTACACTATATAAAATAGAATTTCAACATCCAAGAAACAATTGCCATACGGTTCTGCAAATCTAGTCTACATTGAATATGAATTCACCATCCCTCCTTTGGTCCACCCAATTCCAAGCTACCATTTATACTTTGCCTGGATTGTCCTACCTGGCCTCTCTACTTCTGCCCTAACCCCCCATGATCTATTCTCAATGGCAGCCACAGTGATCCTGTACAAACATAGCTGAGATCAAGACACTCCTCTGCTTAAAAGTTTCCAACAGTTGCCAATCTCTCACCAAATAAAAGTCAAAATCCTTACTATAACTTATAAGGCCAATATATTCTGGTCCTCCAACCTCTCAGATCTCATACCACTCTCCTTCTGCTCCAGACATATTGGTCATCTGGTTCAATCCCAACTCAGGGCCTTTGTACTTATTGTTCACTATTCCCTAGGTCGCAAGTAGTCTTCCTCCATATAAGCCACATGGTTTGCTCTCTCACTTCCTCACTGAAATGTCATTCTGCCCTTTCACACTTCCTATACCATTTCTTTGCTTGCTTTCCCCCTTAGCTCCCTTATTATTTAACAAACTATATACTCTATTTAAGTAGTTTGCCTCAATCACTAGAAGATAAGCTCTATGAGGACAGGAATGATTTATTCTCATTTGTTTCCTAGTATATGCCCAGTACTTCAGAATCAATAGGTACTCAGTAAATATTTGTTGAATGAATGATGAATGATTTGTAATCTATTTGGGTATCAATCAACATGTATTCAACAACTATTTTTGTTGAATAAATGGTGGATGATTTGTAATCCAAACAGGTAGATATACACAGAAAGTTTGTATGGCATCAATACTCTCAGCTTCAAGTAGACTACTAAAATGATAC